ACTACTACGGTGGATGGAGGAAATCTTGCACCGCCCAGACGTTGAATCATGATATCGCCGATCACCAAAACCCCTAACGCCCTGTTTAATATTGATGACACTGTGCCATGTGGCTGGTTTGTGAGTGGAACCCACGGCCCTTCCAAGGACTGGGCATCCAGGTTAAACTTTGGGTTCGGGATATTCGCATTGTTGGTCTACTAAAAGCGGTGCAAGATTTCCCCCATCAACAGCACCGCCACTTCTACTACTATTATTACTACTACAACAACAACTACTACTACTACTGCTACTACTACTACTACTACGACTACTACTACGACGACTACTACTACGACGACGACTACTACTACTACTGCTACTGCTGCTGCCACTACCACTACCACTACCACTACCACTACTACTACTACTACTACTACTACTACTCTACTACTACTACTACTACTACTACTACTACTACTACTAGTACAACTACTGCTACTGTACCACTACTACTACTACTACTACTACTACTACTACCATTACTACAACCACTTCTACGACGACGACTACTACTAGCCACCCCCACCCCTACCAACTACACCTCGTCACTGTCATCAGCATCATCACCACCAACATCACGAAAAGGAACACTCACATTTCATCCCCAACATCACGAAGAATCAAACACCTTTCATCACCAACATCACCTAAAGTACCGTAAATACCGAGTAAAAGCCGGGTTGTGTCCTCACGGAAAAACAAACACACCAACAGCACCCAAAAGCAAACACATGTCATCACCTTTCGTCGCCAACATCACCAAAAGTACTGTAAATACCGAGTAAAAGCGGGGTTGCGTGCGAAAGTGTTGTAAATACCGAGGAAAAGCTTTCCCCCACTCAATTTCCAGTTTTCGCTGCAAGCCGCTCGAGACTCAAAGTTTAAGACGCACAGTCCTGAAGTAGGGCTGCCAACTATATAAGAAAGTACGACATCACGAAAGTACTGTAAATACCGAGTATAACGGCTCTTGTGGTGATATTGTTGGTTGTGTGTTGCGTAACACTGTCGTCATCATCCCACCCCCACGCCCCCACCCCCTCCAGAAGCAAGTCCAAAATCAACAGGCAGAGTTTGCAAACTCGGCAAGTCGAATTTGAGGCTTCTTATGATGATCGTACATGGCGACAGTACTGTAAATATTGAGCAAAACGGATGTGCCATGATGTGCTCTTAACATGGGTTTAGAGCAAGTGTAGTTGGTATTGGGGACGCGCCTGCTACTACTACTACTATTATTATTATTAATATT